ATGTTTTAACTTTTGTCTTGAAATGTTTAGCATGTAACTTTGAAATAGTGTTGGGAATTTACTCAGCATTCGATACAGATTACAATACCACAGAATATATAACAGTACTTTCTTTATCTTCAACAACAACAACAACAAACTTTATTTATAGAGCGATTTTCATACAAAAATGCAACACAAAGCGCTTCTCATCATACTAAAACTGTTCAAGAAAGCTCAAATGTTGTCCTGTTTATGTGATTTTTTTGCTCAGGTTTGCTTGCTCAGATGAATATCGATATTAGTTTTAATATTGATTAGTATCTGATTTTTTTTTTTTTTATACTTTTGACAGCCAGTAGTGGAGTTAGCAATTTGGGGACCCTAAGTGGACTTGAGTTTGGGGCCCTCACTATAATGCACCATTTTTTTGTTTTCTTTTGTTTTGTTTTTAATATATTTATTGTCTGTTTTCCCCCATTGTTCTTGAGACATGCACATCTCTATTTATGTGAATTATGGAAACGTATTAGTTAGGTAGCCTACTAGATAACCATAACTGGAAGTAGTTGTATTTTCTTGCTAGTACAATTACATTTTTGTTTACATCCATTACATATAATTTTTATTTTTTTTCCTTATTGTTTAAAAGTAAACTACGCTCATTTAATGTCATAATGAGAGAAAATGTAATTGCTCTGAGGCCTTGGTCATTAGTAGCACTGAGGGCAATTGGTTGGGGGGCCCCTCCAGGTTTGGGGGCTGTAGGCAGCCACCTACTTTAGCCTAATGGTAGCGCCGCTTCTGTTGACAGCCCTGCATTGAAATCTACAACTGGTGTAATGTGATCACTGCAAAGATATATAATAAAAAATGTATTTAAAAATCCAGAATCTGCTAATATTTATTATGAAATGGGTAAATTATTCCCATTACAGTGATGTACTATGAGGTGGGCACAGTTACACGGTGGTTTTGTATTGCAGTGTGCATTGTTGTGGTCTTATTTATGTGTGTGTCTGGTAAAAGTCTGTCTTAAATTGCCAGTCTGGATATAAAGGTTATGGGAGCAGACTCAGAGGCTCAAAGGCTCAGTGAAACAGGCCCGTAAACACCACCGCCAAATAGTGTGGGATTGTCTAATCAACCTGCACTCAAGAACCCATTAGGTCTAATTTACATTTAAACCACTGATGACTTAAAGCCTAAAGACTTCACGAAAGCACTGACTCTGATATCTGAATGGAGGATGTTTTTGGGTGGTCCTTTTTCTTTAGATGTAGAGTGTTGTCTAACTGTATCAAACATAAAAAATAAGAAAAAATAACTGACAATAATCTACATGCGTGCTTTGTAGGGCTGGGTATCTTTAAGAAGTTGGCCATATGATACATACCTCAATACATAGGTGACGATACGATACATATCTCGATACAGTGCACTTTCGATTCGATACGATATATATTTAGAATCGATTCAGTATGGTTCAATAAAAAATAATGGCTAAATCATGGGTGTGATACTAAAACTCTGTTAAACCATTTCTTGTGCAAAGCTAATATGAAATACGCCCATTTTTATCATCAAAACATTGAGAATGTCAGATGTTTTGCATAAACGAGTTTCCTTCCTCTGAAAAAAACTACAAAAATATAGCACTGTAATAAAATAATTTAGTAAAATATACCAACAACATATTGGCAACATATAGATACAACAGTCTACGATATCAATACTGAATCATCACATTAAACGATACAATATATCGATAATTCAATATTTTTGCACACCCCTAATGCTTTGCCTTGTCAGTTTCTTGATACTTTTCAGATGATGTTGTCAATATTTCCCACAGGGTGTGATGTTAACTGGAAGTACTATTATACTACTACTCAAGTCGAAGCTCTGTGATTTAAATTTGACTTTAATCTGAGTTTTGTTTTAACACAGTCTGACCTGACAGAGCGTACTTATCTGGAACTACAGCAGATGAGCTGATTTGTGCTGTTAAATACGTCTTTCACATATAAAATTACTGTCGCAAGCTTGCAATCGCCGGCTGTTTTTCACTGTCACTCTCACCTTTTTGTTGAAAATTAAACACCTAAACATGGCCATGAATCATCTTAATCAAAGTCTCCTTAACATTAGTTATTTAAATCCATTTTGTTTTTTTTTTCATGAGTTTTCAGATACATTTTAAACTTTTTTTTGCAGTGTTTGCTAATGTGTGCTTTGTGTCACCATATAATAACTACATGTAACACCCCCAGCGTGAGGCGACAGCAAAGTTTTATTCACAATTTTTACGTTTCAAATTGCACATAAAATCAATTTTCCACCATATTTCTTCACTTTTGCTTTATTTGTCACAATTTTGTCACACTATTTAAACTAGTAAGTAACATCTTTTTAATTGGATTCATGTTCTGCTGTTATCTCGACCCCAGGCAGGTCATTTCAAGAACATTTCTGATCTTTGTACATTTGTAACCCTGTGTTAGGATCAGGTTGTTGGCAGCTGGCCTTTTTCACTGTGTCTGATGGAGTTTCTTCTCCACGTTTTAGCGCAGCATCTGTCTGTGTGTTTGTTTTGTATCTGAGGCCTCTGCACTGTCTGCCTGTTTGTCTGTGGAGTAAATGTGTGTGTAACGGGGCAGAGAGGCCTAATAGCAGGTTGATACTTTCATTCAAAAAAGATCTCCACATGGGTTATGGAAAAAAAAATATTTTTTTAGTGGCAGAAAAATAAATGTCTGATTTCTATTGATATTTTTCAGTGACATCATGGTGGGGGTGTTCTATAAGTATCTCTATGGTGGAATATTCAGGAGTTACCATGGAGACACAATGCACACATTAAAAAATACTGAAACTCAAGGGGGAAAAAAAAAAAGCACAATGGATTTAAACAGCACATTTTCAAAAGTCTGTGATGAATACAACTTTGATGTTCAACAAAGAAGGTGAGAGTGACTAGGAAAAAAAAAAGTTGGCTAATGCTAGCTAGTTTTTCACTGTAATTTTATGTGTGAGAGACTTGTTTAATGCTGCGCTTGTTGTGCTCCTATTGTGCTCAGGACTCGGGAAAAAAGAGAACTGACTTGGATTTATCGACTACCGACATTCAATAGAATGTTGTATAAGTGCACTACTTAAACAAACCTGTTGCAGCTTCAACTTTTTGCCCAATTTTTAAGGTCAGATTGTGGTAAAATAAAGCTCAGAGTCCAGTCTAACAGAGCTTCAGACAGAGAGATGCCTACAGTTAGCATCACACCCCCAGGGAATGTCATATCTGACAAGTAGAATGTTTTCTGTCAGGATTGGTGACCTGTTCTTCTCAGTTGCCTCCCTTGTTCTGAGGAGTGCCTCAGGGCTCCATTCTGGGGCCCATGTTATTTTCATTTCATTCATGTTGCCGCTGGGGTCAATTATCGCGAGGCACAGGCTAGCGTTTCACTATTATGCACACGACCTGCAGATTTATTTACCAGTCACATCCAGCTCGTGCAGAACGCTGCAGCACATCACCCCAGTCCTTTTATCTCTTCATTGGCTTCCAGTTTCTTTTAGAGTTGATTTTAAAATTGTATTGTATGTTTTTAATGCTCTCAATGGTCTTGCTCCTTCCTATTTGACTCAACTCCTGTCTGTCCACACTTCAAATAGGGCATTAAGGTCAAGCAACCAACTCATGCTGGAAGTCCCCAGAGTCAGGCTCTCATACTGCGGTGACCGGACTTTCTCTGTCGCTGGCCCCAGATTGTGGAACAAACTGCCCCCTGATTTGCGCACTATCACAGACTTTAGTCTGTTTAAATCCAGGCCTCAAAACATATCATATATAATTTTTATTTATTTTTTTCCCATTGTTTAATGTTTTGAAAGTTTTATATTGTGAGTGTTGTAAAGGGCCCTATAAATAAAGTTTGATTGATTGAATATTTATGAGATCAGGAGTCAGAAAGTCAGAAGAAAACTGTGCAATAACTACATTTACAAAAATAGCCTATTATAAAGAGACTCATGTAATTTCCAACTGGCAGCACACATTATAACACTCATTTCTTAACAGTTTTTTCCTATTTTTATATGTGTAGCTCCTCATTTACATGAATTAATCTATTGTTTCCTTCACACATGTTTAACACACAAATCCTGCAGGATTTGTGTGTTACACCCAAGGCAAAGTTTTTCTCTCAAAAACACTTGTAATATCATGTAGTTATACAAGAATTACTCCACTTTGTTTTTAAACTCCATACACGCTCACCAAAATTATTTTATGAACTACAAAACAAAAACCATGAAAGTACTCCTTCATGATACAAGGTGGAAAGAACCAAAATAAAAATCCAGGTATGTTTTTGATGAGAAAATGACATTCTAACATGGCTTAAAGCTCACACAAATCAATTAATGTGAGATCAGACCTTTAAGGTAGATTTTATTATTGTCTCTGTAGGGAAATTTGTCCTCTGCATTTGACCCATCCTTCAATGCTTTTGGGCCAACCTCTGTCCAGAGATCTTGAGCTAGTCTTGGTCACTGCATTTATTTTAAGAGTCCAAAAGCTGCCTCCTTACAGTGCAAATGCAACGTCAAACTCAGTTCATTTTGAACTGATTTCAGATTCCATCTTCCCTGCTTTGTACCTCAGAGGCAAACCCCGGGTGAGGATCTTGTCACTGTAGTTCTTCCATTCTGTTGACCTGACCGCACCACAAAACTACAACAGCATCGCACAAAGACACGGACTCGCTCTTAAACCACCATTTTCTCATTCAGTTTTAATGCGCTTGACTTCAGAGCAGGTGATCTACTAAAAAAGTCCAACGGCATCTGGTTCTCCGCATTGGGAATGACCCTCTCCTTACCTCTGTGCTGTATGAGGGTGTTACCATGGAAACACAGATTGTTTGATGTGCTCAGAAATGTCACTTGTGAAAGCTTTTTTTGTGTGTGGTTTCTTTTATTATGTGGGCATAATGGTGGAATTGTGTGCTCTATCTCCATAGGTAAATGTGGCGCCCGCTTGTGTGAAGGCGTTGACAAAGATGCTGTATTGTCCGTACTGCCGTGGCATGCCTGGACTCAAGCCCTGTCATAACTACTGTCAGAACGTGATGAGGGGCTGTCTCGCCAACCAGGCCGACCTCGATGCAGAGTGGAACCTCTTCATAGGTGAGAACAGCAATTATGGTGTGGGTTTGTTCACATTTTTTAGTTTAGTTTGTAGAGTGAATCTTATAACTACATTTTAATGATCCTTTATAAAGCATTTACAAACATTTAGGTAAAGGGCTTATATTACACTATATTCTGAATTGTTATGTTCTGTCCTCATCAAAAATATAATAATGTTTTTTTTGTGTGTCATTCACACATCTGAGTAACTCTATTATTAGTCTGTCTACATCTCCAAATCTTAAAATGCTCTGTTACACCTCGTGTTCCACCTTGTGATATCATCAAGAGATAGTTTTCAAGTTAACAGCTAGTAATGGCAATTCCAAGGCTAAAACTATCCACATGATTCTAGTGAAGGTATATAGAGTTTAAAAACACATTGGAGCACTTCCTGTATTACCATATGACGAGCTACAGCCTAAATATGCAAGGTTTGTGTGTTAAACATGTGTGAATGAAACAAAGCACAACTCCAGGTACAGTCAGCCCTCACTATAACGCGGTTCACCTTTCGCGGCATCGCAATTTTGCATGCTTTTTTTTTTTTTTTACAGCAAATGAACATGATTTTCTAAGGGACTGTAGACCACTGTCAGTCAGTCTCCTCCATTCTGTGTCTCCTGTACAGTACAAAATACATTCAGCTTGTCAAACTAACATGAATGTTCGATCACTAGCAGTGTGATTCTGAAGTGCTGTATGTTTGCAAGTTTCTTCCTCGACAAAACCCACAATGTCGACAAAACTGCACCAACAGAGGCACCTGCGGTCACACCCAAAAGGTTAGAAAGATGTCAACCATCGCATAAAAAGATGGACTTCTGGACATGCTGAAGGAAGGTGGAAGTTACACGGCTGTAGGGCGCCATTATGGTATAAATTAATCGTTCGTTACATAAAGAAGGAAGAACATAACCTAATGACAACAGCAGCAGTAAGTTTTAAGAAAGATGCAAGAAGGGCTGTAACTGTCCTGTCTGAGAAAAGTGTATAAAGTGGGTGGTCAAGGGTTTTACAGCCTTAAAACAGATATAATAATTGTAAAAAATGAAGCTGTCTACTTTGCAGCTTTTGCTTATTGCAGGATATTTTTAAAACGTAACCCCCGCGATAAACAAGGGACCACTGTATGTTGTGGAGAGGAAAAAACATTATGAGACAGTTCAGAATATAGTAATAATATATGCCATTTAACTAGCACCTCGTATTAAACAAATACACACAATACCAGTATATGCACACACAACACACACAAGCTGAAGACAGCCAGTTTATGCTCACAAGGAAACCAGCCAATTTGCCCGTAGCTGTCCGTGGTGCTGAAGATTGCATTCATGCCTATTTGAGCATTTGTTCTCACCAAACAAGACAGTCTAAGTGTGAAGACCCCTCCCCGCACGTGTGTACTGTCTTTGCATGTCTCTGCACATCCGTGGTGATTGTCTCCCCCCGTCATTCCTCAACTCCTGGAATACGCTCAGTGGGATGGTCTGTGTTACATTCAGCTCTAAAGGATTTACTGAGACAAAACTCTAAATCTTATTTGTGCAACCATTGCCTGTTTTTCTTTTCACGGTCTGAAATGTTTGCTATAGCTACAGACCTGGCATGGTGCTTAAAGCTCTGGTCCCTGCTGTTTGGGATTGATAAAGGAGAGGAGATTCTCTGCAAACACATTTTCTATAGCATTTCCAACTGGGCTACGTGAGTAATATGGCCCTTCAGTGGGGCTGGAGGTAGCTGTGTCCATAAGCCCTCTTGTTACAGGGATACAGGGAAGGTCCAGAGACAGCAGCACCCCCTCTGGATCTGCCAGAGACAATGCTTTATTTTGTTTCTACCACATTCTTATTCTTTTAGTCGTACATTTAATGAGGTGCGCGGTAACTGTAATTGTGTTCACGGGGTTCATTGTCCTGTTATGTGCAACCTTTTGAGTTAACTTTTTTGTTTGTAATTGTCAATTGCTATGACAACAGTCCTAATTTTTCATCAATTTGAAATCCATGGAGAAAAAGAGTTTGTTTTTTGTTTGTTTGTTTTTTGCACATTGATTTTACTTCAGAACAAAAAGCAAATCATGTCTCTAATTTCAAAGGTGCACTGTAAATTTTCTAGTTGGACCTGCTTGTCTCCATGGAGATGTTAACTTTTTTAGAAAGAGCCACCGTATAACATTAAACTTTAAACTACCACCAGTTTAACAGAACAGCAACCCCGCTCACAGTAAAAAAAAAGTGTGGATTTCAGCATATTTTTTAGCAATAAAAATACATATAAGTGAATAAAGACAAGATAGATATGTTTTAGTACTATATAGTGAAACATTTCAGGCAAAGCAACAACATCTCCACAAGGTTAACTTGGTGGCAACCCTTCTAAGAGGGAAATCACATAGTGTGCTTTAAGAAAATACATTTTATAATACCACAAAAATATAATCAACTAAATTCTTACAGTGTTTTCTGAGTTTCTTATTGCAAGCCATGTAAAATCTAACACTACCAGTACTGCATTTCGCTAACAAAAGAATACCCTCTCACTTTTTCTTAAAGGTGCCCTTGTAAATTAACAAGTAGAGGGTCAGCCACCTGATTGTCTCCTAGGTGATGTCGTTGCTTTGCCAAGAAAGTTACACAGCATGGCATTAACTTAACTATCTATCTCCATGAAAACAAGCAGGTGGCACAACCAGGTCAGAGATGCTGTGTTTGAGGCACTTTTGAGCAATAAAAACAATGAAAGACTAGACAGATATGTTTAATGCCATATTCTAGAAAATTCTTTAAGCAATAATATCTCCATGGTGACAACCCCACTACAAAAATTACACACAATGCACCTTTAAAAACATAAACATTTGATAGAAAGATAGATGTTGGAGGAGCAGTACATTTTATTCAAGTAAATACACCAGCAAAAATTCACAAACAACAGAGACAGGGAGCTGCTGCTATTGTGTAACTATAATATTTTTTTTGTTTTCTACAAATACAAGCAGTTGAAACACATTACAAACCCTCTCTTCTTTTAATCCACACTACACGTTTAAAGACTCCTCCCTGATGCCGTGTATCAGATGCCCTGTTTCTTCCATTCGAGTGAAAATCCTGCAGGAGAGATGACGTAATGCTCTGGTCTCACGTCCCCTCCGGTCCCTGTGCTCTGAATGAGATGTCTGGCAGCTTATGACAAGTGTTAAAAAGTCAGTGTCTTGTTCAGTCGTGAAGAGCCAAATCTGTGGGCACTGAGGGAGCAGGGCTGACAGTGAAGAGACGTGCTGTTTTTGGGGAGAAGGATGAGGAATCTGGTACGGCACATACACCCCCGAGGTACACACAAAGTTGGTTTTTAATTTTTGGTTCTGTTCAGACATGTTTTGACTTTAGGAGAAATGCGATGATGTGGGGTTTGCAATTAGAAATAATGAACCCATGGGATGTTTATTTTTTACCACCAGAAGTTCATTAATTTGAAATGCCTGGTGACTATGAAGAGTTATGATACTTTTTTGAATCGCATTTTTGGGAAAACCACATTTTCTTGGGTGCCTCTCATTCCTAGATCGAATGAAGAGATAGAAAGATTGCTAAGTTGTTTTTTTGTTACTTGTTACTGGTTTGGTGCTGGGTTTAGTCCTGGTATGGGCCTGGTTTGGTCCTGTTCTAGTCCAGGTTTGGACAAATGTGAACAATGTAATAATGTACAACCAGTGCTTATGCCATGCAGAATTGACTCTTGTGAGCTTTTAACCATGTTATAATTCTTTTACCTCCTCAAAAACATAGCTGCAGTTGTCTTTTGTTTCATTTACACATATTTCAGTAACTATTTATTATTAGTCATTTTGAGCTATCTCCAAAGCTCAAAACGCTCTTTTAGACCTTGTGATGTTGTGAAGCAGTAGTTTTTAAGTTGTTACCTTGTGCTTAAGTTGTTTACTGTTTGTTCAGCAGAGATTGGCAATTCCAGAGCTAAAATTAACCAAATTCTAGTGAAGGTGCATAGAGTTTAAAAACACATTGGAGCACTTCCTGTATTACCATGTGGCATCACAAGCTGGAAGAGAGTGTTTTCCATTTGAGAGAAGAACTCTGTCTAAATATGCAGGGTTTGTGTGTTAAATATGGGTGAAAGAAGCAAAACACAACTCTAAGTATGTTTTTGAGGAAACAACATTATAGTGTACATCATAAAAAAGCATAATATGGGTCCTGTGCTTGTTCCAAGTTAAAGCTGTATCTTTCTATTCACGTCACTGCTTTGTTTGGAACATTTCACAGCTATTTCTATGGGGAAGCAAATGACAGATCTGCATCCAGAAGTTACGTAGTGCCCCTTTAATGCTAAAATTCCAATATTTCTTACTATATTTTAGCAATGTGCTCTGGCAAATTATAGTCTTTTTTTACACCTGAAAGTACTTGCAAATAGTAGGCTCAAATTGTGTTGCTATAGCTTCCAGGGCAGCATTAACCAAACAGTTTAGTCGCCCTTAACAACTTATTTAGACTTTTGGAGGAATGTTCTGTTGTGGGTTTCTAATTATAAATAAAGAACCCATGGCGTGTTTATTTTGACTTCTAAAATTCATACTTTTCGACTCTCTTGTATAGCTCTAGAGGTTCAATTAGCTTTAGCTTACCATGCAGCTTGTGTGGAAAATCGATTTGCATTTCAGAAACAACTTCTTAATGCGGTGCAGGTCATTGTTCCTGCTGCTGAGCATCTGTGCATCTGTGCAGTGTCGAGGTGTATGGATTCATCCCACACATAGTCTGTCATTGTCACCCCCAAATGAGTACTGATTACACAGGGTTATTATACAGGCCAGTTTTAATGGGGAAGAAGACACCGCCATGTTTACCTATAGAAAGTGCACACATCTAAATGTCACTGTCAATATCATGGATTGATAAAACCACAGGAGCCAGTGCTTTTAAACTTCATGTACAACAAATAGTTTATCTTGTGCTTTTAAATAAACACAAAGA